ATGCTAATGAATCTAGACATATATGTGTGGCTAGATTCATTAATATCTATATAAATGTTAGCAATGCTAGAAAGTCTTAATTATAACCTGAAATGAAGGTAGTATTAAACTATATTTTCTGCATTCCGATTGTAATAAATTTATCCAAAGTTACAAATATGCTGATAGCAGATATATTTTTATAATTTTTGTTAAGACCTCTAGCTAGGGCGATCAAGTAGCTATTCTTGCACGGCATGAATTAATTAGATGTTTATTATTTCTAGTATTTATTTTAAGACTGTTCTTGCTAGTAAATCGTGCCGTACTGCAATTAATACATGCAATCTGCAACACTGATTACTGTCACTGCATGTGATTTACTTTCCCCGTCCCATAAAAAACCAATCTAACTAGATAAATACCCCGCACAATGTTGCAGGAGAATTGTGTGATAATAGAAGGCACAACCACCCTTAACACAAACACCAAGAAATAATTATTATCATCTTGTAGTTTGAATCATCCGAGTTAGAGAATGTGAGAGTGGAGGATTTAAAAAAGTAGTAATTTAATGGAAAATATATCATAGTTAATGGTATGCATGCATGCATGACTTATATTATTGAACATAAAAAAAAGTGGTTGTACCTTATATTATGGAATGGAGGTAGTATATATGAGTTCTAAAATTTTCTTCCTTATCTACTATACGGTTTTTTTCATGTGTTTATCTATTTTTTATACTTTTATCAATTATTCAAATGTTATAAATAATTGGGTTGTATGGTATGCCTTTTGGGGGAAAAGATGCAATTTATACCCTTGATGAATCATCCAAAGGCTAAAAACAATTAAGGTGATGTGGCTTTATGAGAGAGGAGAGAATTAGCATTAACTACACTTACTCGGGATGAACTTTATAGATCTATATAGGATACTGGATGTGACACATCCTAGCTAGTACTATGAATCTAGATATATCTTTATTCAGATTTGTGTTCTAGATTTGTTTTATTTGGGACGGAGGGAGTAGGCGCCAAGGTATCCCAAACCACTGGGGCCGGAGTTATCGCGCCCCGGCGGTAAGCACGGTTACCGCGCGGTAACCACGGTAACCGTGGCAAACCGTACGAAACCGTGTAAAATTTATCAAAATTTCAAATTACTTTTTAAATTTATTTGAATTTAAGGAGGTTACCGTGGTTTTCTTTTTACCGTACCCCCACAGTAAGCGTGGTAACCGCGGTTACCGGCGGTTTTGTAAACCCTGGTAGGCGCCAATGCCATATATGAATTGTGTCGAATTAATTAATTAGCTTGTGGGTAAGTAGCTGCATGGAGCATTAAGGGGGTGCTTGAAGAAAGGATTAGGGTTTCGTAAATTGCAATGAGTGGGATGCCAGATCTATGATCTATCTCCTCATAGGCTTATATATATGTTTGCAAGTACTAGAGCGCCCTGTACTCTGCGTTGTGTTGATTTCCGAAAAGAAAAAAAAATTACCATATGCAAACTAACTTTCACTACTTGTCACTGTCGTCCTCCTACCTCAGCTCCTTCTCCATCGTCGCTCCAAACAACTTTAATTTCAAACTCTTCCTTCTGAAAAGGCACTGTTCATGCATGCTACACCCCTTCACTCTCTCTAAAAAGTTCGTGTGTTTGTACATGGGTTGTGGGCGCGTACATTCATGGCCCTACTGTGCCGAATCGAAGAGAGACGGTGGCCGTTGTGAAGCAGCCAGCGACCTGTTCAATTAATTTCCTTGCCTGGTATAAATTTCTTTTATGTTCTGCAACCATGCACGGCTACACGGAGCCTAATCATTGATAATTCAAAATAGTAATATCTAATCGTTCATTTAAGGACACTGCGGTAAAGAAATTTTACTATCTATAAGAGATAAAAATAATTGGTATCTTATAGTATCTGAGATACTTGAGAGCTATCTATCAAAATTTAGATTTCAAAGAGTGTGATACCTCTCAGTATTATCCACTTAACATTGCCACATAAATGATCATCCATGTCGCCTCATCATTGTCGGTTCAGTGTGAACCGACAGCGATAGCGTATCATTGTCGATCCACCGTGATTTATGGTCCAAACTGATCACATAATCCAGCAGTTATACTGAGTATTATTGTCGGCTTTTATCACAAACTGATAGTGTTTGTATCATTGCCAGCTTATGCCATGAACCGATAGAGAAAACTGGTTGACCAACATTTGACCAGAGCTAGGAGAGGTTAAAAATTTCCTAAGGCTCCACGGCTGAAAACATAAGTTGTTGGTAGCCTATCAGTCGCCACCCACCCCACCCCACCCCACGTCAACAAAATCCCCTCTTCTTCTCTCATAGTTTCCCTCTTCTTCCTTCCCTCCTAATCTGACCATGGTGCCAACCGCACCACGCTAGCTCTCTTCCTCCCTGTGTACCTCTCCCTTCCCTATATCGAGCCCTCTCCCCCTCCCCCTTCTCTCCCTTTCTCTCTCCCAAGTCCAGGTTGAGGTCTATCTTCCCTCCCTCTCCCATGTCGTAGGCAGCTGGTGTGGTAAGTGAGGAGGATAGGAGACAGCTGGCGAGGTGGGGTCTAGATCCAGTGACCCCGAGCTAGGAGTGGCCAAATTCGGCCCACGGGATGGCAGCGGCTCACGTGGCATGATGACTTGTAATCTCTGTGGGATCCTTTGAAACAAAGGTTTTATTAAAGGAATTTTGTAGATATGAATCCTTTGGAATATTTTCCTATATATATGCTCCTTTGGATAAATGGAATGGACCCTTTCAAATTCCTGGAATATGGCCAAGTTCATAAGGATTTTGGAGGAAATCTAACATGAGCTCTAATTAAGCTCTTGGAAAATTAACTTTATGCCATCCTCTCTCTAAATTCATATATTGTTTTTATATGAAGTATCCAAACAATACAATTGAGCAATTCCTTGGGATCACATTGGCATGCCACTCCAATTCCTATATTGTTATTATTCCTATGTTTCTCAATTCCTACGTTTTAAAGGAGCCCTCAGGAGCTTTGTACAAGACCAGCTACCATATCGGGGGTCCACACATTTTATGATAACTAGTTTCATGTCGTATATGTCCTCTAATAGTTCTGGATCACCCCATTAGGGATTAGCATGAAGTACAAACCCAGTAACGGTTGCATATATCTTATGGAATCGTTATATATCACTTGATTTCAAACGGTTTCTGTGAGAATCGTTAGAGATTAGTTGTCGAAGATTAATTGGCTAGCTATTTTCTAGTTGTGTACATTCTAGCTTAGTATTATTGGGCATGCATGTCTGTACTGTACATGCTCAATCAGTACTGAGCATTCATATGCGCTTGTCTCCTGCATGTATGTGCTCAAAGCTAATTTACTATTCGATCCCCCATTTTTTTGGCCAGATCGATGCACACAAATGGACTCGATTCTGCCACAAGATATGTTCGGCTATATATCTCTTATAAATCTTTTTTAGAATAACAATAAGCAGATCTAACTTATATATATGTTTATTGGTCATATCCAGACAAAATATAGGAGAAAACGTAATTTTTGATATTGGCTAAACTAGCTAGTCATAAATTTTGAAAAAAAAATTGATCTTTTATGGTTAACATGCATCCATAACTTAATTTGATCACTATATTTTTAATATTATGTATCAGTATACTAGCTATCAAATTATAATATTGAGAGATTAATTAAAGCATTTTATGAAGAGTTTACTCCTATCATTTTCATATAGCCAAACATACTTTCTAGGCAAGTTTTGGTTAGAGCACATTTTGACTGCACACATATTGCAGGCAATATATAATAAATTTCCCCTGCATGTATCTCATTTTTATTTCAATACCTAAACACGATATATTTGCAAAAAAAAGTCAGATACGATATAGTTTCTCAAATAATAAATTTTCCCTTGATATGTTTCTCATTTTTTAATACTTATTAAACGCTAGTATTTGCGGGAAAAAATAAAATTCAGATACGACATAGTTTCCCGAATTAAGCAGATATAGATAATCTAGGAAACAATTTATACGGTATATATGAAAAATAATTAAGGGCAGGGGCATATCATGCATGAGAGAGAGAGAGAGAGAGAGAGAGAGAGAGAGAGAGAGAGGATGATTCAGCATTCAGGTGGATGGGAACATGCAGCCCTGACCACACCAGTCAATGGTCTACAGCAAAACACTACACCTACAATACGTGTACATATAAGGGATGCACATATATAATAAGCATCCAACAATATATTTGTGCACCACATACCATATTTCATGTCGTCTACAGTAGTAACATAAGTGGCCTGTTCACTCTAGCTACATAGTGTGCATATTTTTCTATCAGTTGTGTGCCCGTGCAACACCGATGCACCCATCCATCCCATCATATGATCCTATCCGGCGGCCACACTGCAAATCTGCAAAATGATAGAATTTAAAAACACAAAAAACAAGTTAGGGTCGGTCAAAAATCGACAAGAAAAGCAGCAGCAGGAGAGAAACAAGAGGCCATCCCCTCCAGATTATCCTGCAGTCATGTCATGCTTCTCCCCTCCCTGCAGGCCTCAAGGCATGGAAGGAATTGCAAAGATAATATTATTGCTAGTACATGGATGGAATATATACTTGAAAATGAAATATATTTATACAAACATCCTAACTTTATATTGTTCAAACTTTGGAATTAAGAGAGTGAAAGGTAAATGGGATAAAACAAAAAAGAAACATCTTTAACTGGTAGGTGACATCACCAATAGTGAGACACTTTGTGACTTCAGCAATCTCAAGACATATTAGCTGTAATTTCTGGTAAGTGTGTATGGTGAGTTTGTATATTACACCTCCCAGAAAGCTAGCTATAAATATGCACACACCCACCATACACACTTTACAGAAATTATGGCTAACATGTCTGAAATTGCCGAAGTCACAGAGTATGTACAGACGACGACGTGTGCATCTGTATTGTATTTCGAATATTAATTTCTCTTTAATTAACTTTCCTGTCATTTTCTCACCCCCTGAGTAGCTAGCACCAAGCTGTCTAGCCTTCCTATACCCTACTAGGCTCTACTACACCCATTTCTACCTCACACACCTAGCTAGCAAGTAGGCTCTCTCACTCCACACCCACACTACTCCTCCCAGGCTGCCTGCCTAAAAGGCTAGACCTATCCATCTCTTCCCCCCACTCCTCCAGCATCGCCATCATCCACTGTTCATCCACTCCATCTCTCTCTCTCTCTCTCTCTCTCTCTCTCTCCATCGATCCCTGCAGGTTCTTGCTGCTGCTGCTGCTGCCTTGCTTGCTGTCAAGCATGGCTTGACCACCTGAGAGCGAGGAGAGCATAGCGTAGTACTTGGCTAGCTGCTGTTCAATTCCTCATGGATGATTGGAGGATCGCTAGCTAGGTCGCCCGGATCCACGGACACCTCTCCTCGTCTCGTGCTCGTGCATGCCAAGATCGATCGATCCCAGCTGCTGCTGCGAGTGGAGCAGTGGAGGAGGAGATCGGCTGCTACCTGACCTAGATCGGGAAGCAGATTCATCCGGTACATGTTATATATAGATATAGATCGTTGCTTAGGTTCTTCTCTTCTTGTTTGATTTCGTCGGAGCAAGAAATGATGCTTGCTTCTTGTGATTCAGGTTGCATTACGGCGGCGAGGCGAGGGCGAGGATGGATCGTCACCATCACCACCACCACCACCACCACCATCACATGATGTCGGGCGGCGGGCAAGACCCGGCGGCGGGGGACGGCGGCGCCGGCGGCGCCACGCAGGACAGCTTCTTCCTCGGCCCGGCCGCGGCCGCCATGTTCTCCGGCGCCGGGTCGTCGTCGTCGGGCGCGGGGACGTCGGCGGGAGGCGGCGGCGGCGGGCCATCGCCGTCCAGCTCGTCGCCGTCGCTGAGCCGGTACGAGTCGCAGAAGCGGCGGGACTGGAACACGTTCGGGCAGTACCTGCGGAACCACCGGCCGCCGCTGTCCCTGTCGCGGTGCAGCGGCGCGCACGTGCTGGAGTTCCTCAAGTACATGGACCAGTTCGGGAAGACGAAGGTGCACACGCCGGTGTGCCCCTTCTACGGCCACCCCAACCCGCCGGCGCCATGCCCGTGCCCGCTCCGCCAAGCCTGGGGCTCCCTCGACGCGCTCATCGGCCGCCTCCGCGCCGCCTACGAGGAGAACGGCGGCACGCCGGAGATGAACCCCTTCGGCGCCCGCGCCGTCCGCCTCTACCTGCGCGAGGTGCGCGAGACGCAGGCCAGGGCGAGGGGGATCAGCTACGAGAAGAAGAAGCGCAAGAAGCCCTCGTCCGCCGGCGCCGGAGCCGGGCCCTCGTCCGAGGGGAGCCCGCCGCCACCCGGCGGCTCGGCCAGCGGCGGCGGCGACACGTCGGCGTCGCCGCAGTTCATCATCCCGTGAGTTCTTCTCGATCCCCATCGCCATCTCCGCATCTCCATTGATCGATCGAGCCTCGCAGCAAGAAATTCCAATCTCCTTGGCAGAAATGCCATCTTGCTTTGCCAGTACAAGGCATCATATCTCTTCTTTCCTCCTGAATTGGTTTCGATCTCTCCCATTTTGCAAAAAAAGATTTCTCCTCTTTTTAATTTCATCTCTGTCTCGCTTTCTAAGCTAGGACGAAGGTCATGCATGAGTGAGTACTTAGTTTAATTCTTGTTTTTTTCCTTAGCTTTGGGACGTCAATTAATTGGTAGCTGCTGTCTTCGATCGATCTCGTCCCGTTTGGTTTAATTATTTTGATGCAAGAACTGGAGTAAATTTGATGAGAATCTCAAGCTAGCTAGCCTAATTAGGAGTTGTAATATTTGTTTTAGTCTGGGGGATTTGCAAGAACAAAAGTAGCAGAAGCTGTAGGCATAGCAAGCTAGCTAGTGTTAGTATCTGTAGAATTTGTTCTTGTAATAGCTTGTCGCCAAGCTAGCCAAGTGCAGTGGCGTCAGCAATGCTTCCTTCTATCTATCATGTACTAGTGATGATGTCTTGGTCTTCCTTTCTTGGTTGAGCAAAAGGGCAAAAAGGGAGAGATCGACTAGCTGATGAGATGATGAGTGATTTCAATTGGTAGCTTAATTAAGACAGAAACAACATGTGTTATGTGTACTTGTCCTGGGAACAGATTCCATATATATGCCAAATGCTTTAATTTGGGCTATGATCTGTGTGCAATGCAATGTTCTTGATATATTCATGATCAAGTGCTCCCTTTGGTCATCATGTGTGTGCTGGTAGCTAGACTTTATACAAAAATATGTTGCTTTTGTTCTTTGCTTTGAACAATGTTTTGTTGTGTAGTGCCAGTTTTTGAATGGTTTACAGTACTGGATACTACCTTCTTTCACTTTTACAATATGTGCAAAGTGGTAACAGATGAAGAAACAAACAAACCAAACAAAAGAAGAAAGAAAGATAGGAGTCTTTTCAAAAAAGGAGAGAAAAGAAGGCAGCCAGGCACCAAAAATATATAAAGGGTTCAATTGGGTGTGCACTAGTACGATTGGGTGATCCCTATTTTTGCCCATGCTTTGATGCTTCTGATTCCTTTCCTTGTTCAAGTTTGAATTGCTGGATTTGACTTGATTTAATTTGTCTTCACTTGTTTATTATTCCTGATGATGAGTATATATAGTAGAACTGACCTGCACATATATATATGTTTCTGTAACAACTCAAATGATCAATGATCAGAGGTTTTTTCAAAAAAAGAGAAAGAAGGGAGAATGCATGTTCAGGTAGCTAGCAGACAGCAGTAAAACTACAATTCTCTTTGTGGTTAAAGTTAGTTTACCACCTTTGTTAGAACCTGATCAGATCATTCTTTTTGCATGAAAACTATTCACTTCTAAAGTCTTTTGTGTCCCTATCAATGCAACAGTGCCACACACATGTTCTTTCACTTCATCTCTGCTGTCCCCATGTATATATATGTATACTATATGATATGGCATTGCTACCAGCTTAGCAGGAGGGCATTCAAGTTCCTGTTTTCACACAGTTGATGCATCTATCACTATCTTAGATTTTGCTTGTCCTTTCAATGCATATATATGTGTAGTTGAGAAAACTTTTTCTTTCATATATATATGGAACAGACAAATTAAAGTCGACTGTTCTATGTATTGCTTCTATTTAATTTATTCGACAACTTTGCGTGCAACTCAATCTGCTTCTCTTTTTTGGGGGATTCAAAAGAATTTTTAGCACATGGCCGGCTTCAATCTTTATGTGAGTGATATGTCTGATTGATATATATGTACTGACTGACTCTCTGTAGCCACAGCTTGCTTGATTGTGGTTGCATACCTTGCATGCATGCGTGATGAGTTTTTCTACCTAATTGAGCTAGTATATATACTGTATATTGATTAGGTATCACAGTATCGTCAGTGTTTTATTTGACCCCTAGGCCTCCTTTGGAATACGACAATTACTAAATTTCCTTCGTTGCATTGCCTATATATATGTGCGCTCCACTTAGTTTGATCAATACATTTTTATGAGTGCTTATATTCATGAAAACAAGCCACAATATTGGCTCTAATTTTATACATTTGGTTTCTGCAAAGGTGTATAAAAATATGTTTTAGCTTATATATGTGTGTGATAAAATTTATGCTCTTTTAATGCAATATGATTGTTTTTTGTTTCTTTGATTCCAAATATATAGGTAATAACAAATACTAAACATTGTGTTGTCTAAATGCAAATATAGTTATCCACATAATGTCTATTGAAAAAAATAATATCAATATCAATGGTAAACAGTTACTCACCATAAAACACCATATTAGGTGTGTGTTTTTCATCATTGTTTATTTTCTTAAGCTTAATTTTATGTTTTTTCATTATATTCTATTTTCCAGCATTTGCCCTTAAACCGCTCATAGATATGAAAACTTGTCCATGAATTTTTTTTCTTACTTCATTTATTTTTTTTCGTGATTTATCAGCCATATAGCTCAAACAATCATAACCCATTTAACTATAGCAACAATAAATGTTAAAAAAATATGTTGATTACATGCACCTTTAATTTTATCCCAAAACTGCATTATACATCACAAAAACCATTCATGTAGGTTTCCTGAAAATAAAAGGGGGCACTCATGCTTTTATCTATCCATGGTTTTCTTAATTTTCAGCAGCTAACAACCCATAGAATTATGTCAAATTTCTTAACTAAACATAAGCATGGACACTTCCTCCCAACATAGTGTCTTAAAAAATGTCAATCAACAAGACATCTAATACATTTATTATAAATTAGAAAATTATTTCGTTCATTTTTTTTGCTACAAGTCAAGTAATCAACTAATTTAATACAACACTTGATAGATAAAGGTGGTATTTAAATGTAAAGGCTAGTTTAATTTCACACTTTCGACACGCATCACACTCACAACACGTATGGATGTTTTTTTACCGTCATTTTGGGAGGTATTGAGAGATAGATGTTTATCATAGCTAGCGTTAATCATGACGTACACACCAGGATTAATTATCACAAAAGAACTATATATATGACATAAAAGACATGTTATCCATGCATAGATTAGCATCCACAAATAAATTTAGCAGATCATGGCGATGGAACATTTTCTTAATTGTAGTTTAGATTGTTGTTGCTGAAACTCCTTGGATTAATGCATGGGAACCTGATCAACGACAAGTGTTTTGTTGTCCCTCAATTAAATTCCTTACTATGCCTCCATGAACTTCTTGATCAATTAATCATCTCGGTATACCTTGTTGTAACTAGTATAGGGTTTAAAGCGATCTTTAGTCCTCCCTTGGATGCATGTATGCTTAATTTTGGCCTTTAATTCCCATATCTTCTGTTGAAGTGAATATTGGCCATGGCACATCTCTTGTCCACATTATTATAGAAAATGAAATATAAGAATAGATCTAATACAAGCATATATATCCATGTGCATGAATTGTACATGAAAAATGAAGGTACCTGAAACCTCTACTAGTCATTCTAGTTATTCATATCTTATATTTTGCGGGGTATATATATATATACACACACACGATCGATGCTGACCAAATTAACACACACCTTGGAGCAATTAACAGGGATTTATTCTTACATTGCATATAGCGATAGAGCTATATATGCATTATACTACTTTGGCTTCTACTTCAAATAAGACGGACAATAATCAAACGTTGGATACAGATACACACAGCTGCGTTTAAAATGGGAGGCAGGGAGTAGAAGTATTTAAGCATGGGGATCTGTTCATTGAAAGAAGTAGATAGAAACTGGAACGGGTGGGCGCCAAAATTTGGCGAAACAAATTCCCCCCTAATAAATGAAAAATCCCTGGCTCGCGTTCTATTGGTTCATGTTGCCTGCTCTACTGATACTACTTTGCATGTACCCATGATTGACGAAGAGTACGTCTAGCTAGTGCAGGGCCGAAGAGGCTACTGAAATTAAGGTGGCCCAATCGCACAGAAGAACAAACTCGCACGTACGCTGATGTGTCGTAATCTGAGAGGAGAAATGTATATCTAGCAGCAGCAGCAGCAACTCAGTTTGCAGGCTCCTTTGCAGCTTCTGATGCATGCAGCTGAGACTGATAGGTGAGAGGCATCAACTAGGGACGAGTTTAGTTTCAAATTTTTTCTTCAAACTTTCAACTTTTCCATCACATCAAAACTTGTCTATACACACAAATTTCCAACTTTTCCGTCACATCGTTCCAATTTCAACAAAACTTTTAATTTTGACGTGTGAACGAAACACACCCTAGCTCTGAATCGCTCTGATCAGCAATGCGAAGGAGGAAGAAGAAGAAGAAGAAAGAGAGTGTAGAAAAAATACTACTACACTGCTAGCTAGCTGCTGCTCGATCGATCGTAGAAAACTCCATGAGAGTAATCGTCCATGGATCAGAAAAATTTAGCCGCGGGATAGATCTGTGGCGTTTGTGTCCAGGACAAAGGGCCACTGTTGGCGATGTCATTCAATTCATTTCCACCGTACTGTACCTACCCCGCTCTCCCTTCATTTACTCCGATCCTAACGTACAGTATACTGCAGTCGTGTATGTGTACTCCACTACGGGAACACGGCTTAATTTTACCCACACGCAGTGTACCAAAGTGCACCGTACGTATTTCATCAATCTTACTACTATATTGGTTCAGTGCTTTAGTTTAGGGCAATCACAATTAATTTTTGTTCTTCATTCGTCATCACTGCTTTGTACGTACCAGGTACGTACTTCTGGTATCTAGGAGTTTCGGTTTAGAAAATGTCAAGATATGTACTATGTTTAACACATGCATGGTAGACTATATAGTACATACGTCCTCGTTCCAAAATATAGAAAAAATAGGATTTAAATCTTATGCTATAATACAAGGATTTTTAGCACTATTCACAGTATTACTTTTCCCATCAATCATTTACCATTAAAATTTCTTTCCATCTTACCCCCTAACTAACCTCCCACCGCTATTCGTTACAAATTTATTGAGATACATCGAAGCCTTTCTTTTCTTAACCTTAATATCTACTAAATAATCTAGAAATGCTTCTTGGGGGAGTATCTTCACCCTTCTCAGCGTAGGTGCCCTAGCCTACCAACCAGAGGGGACTCTGAAGGAGGCCCGGTTGAGGCCTTGGTAAGGCCTCCAGGAAGGACCTAGTCTAGAATGGCACCATCCTCGAGGTGGCTCCGGCAAAATGCGACTTCACGAAGCATCTATGACGAGAAGACGGGCCATTTAGGGTGCATTCAATGAACCCAACCATCAATGACGTATCCGCGGCGAGAGCAAGCAGGAATGCCGAGGCGCCTCGATAGCGTGCCTCGGCCTCGAGCTGTCTATCCCGAGATTCGTCGGAACCCCGTGATGGGGGGTTTAATGGAGGCAGCCCCTTTCTGGTCGCCTAGAGTTTTACCTTCTTGCTCTCGAGGCCAAGCCTGCCAGCCAGCCTCCACGTAGTGGGCGGAGGCCAAAGGGCCCCTTCGTAACTTCCCATATAATCTCTAGGGATATATAATTGTAATTCGCTCCTCGAAAGAGGGCAATGGAGACAACGATAGAGAAATCGCGTTGTTTCCTTGGTAGACTCTCAATCCCTGTTGGATTTTATTCCAACAATGCTTACAGTTTGGATCGGATAGAGCAAAACATTTCTGACTTAGTTAAAATGCTCATGGT